AAAGTATATTGCTAAAATTAATTGTTAAGTTTTTATTATAAAAATTAATTTTAAAAAAATTAATGCAAGCAAATTTGTCTGTATTACAATTTAAGAGATATGTATTATTATTATTTTTTTTTTTTATGTTTATTTATTATTATGTTGCTCATTTTTTGAAGATTCAATATTTTTGGACTTAATTTTCTTAGCTTAGAATACTTGCAAAAGCAAGTTTTTTTACTATGTCCTAGTTTTCTACATATAATGCATATGTGAGCCTAGCAGCAGTTTTTATCCTCTATGCATATTTTTCTGTTCCAGTTAATGCATATTTCTCAGTCATTAGGTCTTGTAGTAGTAGTTCATATGTTATACTGCCAATTTTCTTTAATTCTTTTTGTAGCTATTGCATTGAAGTTTTTTTTTTCTAGCTCTAAATCCTTATTCATTAAAATATAATCATGATTTATTACTAATGAGACCCTTCAGTTTTCATCATATTCTATTACAGCAGAGAATTTATATTTGATGCATAGCTCATTAATATGATCCCAATATGTGTTTAATTCTTGTTCATGATTTTTATAAATTATTAGCATTGCATCCATATAGGCTTTGAATGCTAATAACCATTCTAATATACTGTCAAATGTAGTGCTTTGTTTCTATTTTTTGATAGCTATAACTTCTTCTTCTGCTGCTTGTAATACTGTTTTCTCATTGGCTTATTTAATATTATTAATTAAGTTTTTGTATATAAATTCTTGTAAGTTAATTTATAGGCTAAATGCTATTGCTTTCTATAACTTTTTAGGTAAACTAGGCTTTTTCAGTAGCATTTTGATTCTTTTTTGTCCTTCAGACCAGTTTGTAATTTACTATAGCTGGATTTGTTCTGTTTCTATTGCTTTTTGGTTGTAAAAATCCTGAATTGTAACTATTTTTTCTTTATTTGTATAGGTTAATGATGGAAACTTTTTGCTAGTTATTTTATAATATGTTGTTTCATTATAGCTTTCAGGTTCATTGCTTTAATTTTCTGAATTTAATCTTAATATTAAATTGTTAATTACAGATGTTAAGAGGCAATTACCTTGACTTAATTCTGCAATTTGTTCTTCTATTGCTTCTTATTGATTATTGTGAAGATTTTTATTTGTTCATTGTATTGTTAAGCCATATTCTGTTGATGTATTTTGACTATTATTTCTTATGCTAGTTTGCTTTTTTTATGTAAGTTTTTGATTAATAGTTTCCATAAACTAAATGTTCTATTCATGTTGCATTTGTGCTTGTTGGTTCATAAACAGTTGCATACTGTTTATTATTAATACTGTTATTATCTGAATTGCTGTTTCAATATATATCTTCATTCATGTTTCTATATCTGTCATTGGGTTCAGTACTTCTTGGCTGCCTGAACTTGCTATAGTTTCAACTGACTTCTCAGATACTGTATTGTCATTTTTGCCTTTGGTAGTATTTTATATTTTTTGTTTGTTCATTTGCAAATTGGTCTTTGTGAATAATGAATACTGGTTGGGTAGTTTGTCATAGCATGCCATTCTTATGCATTCTGTTAACAATAGGATTATTCTTGGCAATCATCTCATCTGTACTAAAATAAGCAGTTAATTAAATTACATTTATCTAGTTTACATGTTTGTTTATGTAGTATCAGTTATTATCATGCTTAATTAGATACAACTGCTGCAGTTCAGATTTGAACCAGCTTGTTTATAGCATGTCTTTACTTAGCTATATTTTCAATCTGTTGACTTGTTGTCAACTTGAAAAAATTTTTAGATGAAAATCTTTACTGCATCAATTAAAAAGGAAAAGTGGCTGATCACAGGGCAACAACTAATGAACAACAATAATTCATAAGTTACACTACTGATCACTGCTTTTATCAGAAATGATCAACAGCATTTTGACAAAAAAAAATTGTAAAGGGTTAATACAATGAATAAGTTCTTTTTTTTTTAATAACATATCATATACAAGTAATTAAATTCTTTATAATTTTTTTTTACAGTATATCACATAAAAGTAAATATTAGTAATACAGATTGATGAAAAAAATCATGGGTCATAATCAAACCTAAAGAAACTTAGGCTGGTCAACCAAGCTATCCTTTTTACTAAGTAATTTTTCTGATCAGAATTAATTAGCATATTTATATTAAACATATAAAATATCATCATGTAGTTTATTTTTGAATTTAGTGATGTTAAATTATTTAATCTTTATTCAGGTTGTTCTTAAGAAAAATTTCAACCTGTTAGTATTTCATGTTGTTTGATTGTTTATGTCTCATTTATTTTTTTTAAAAAAATGGTAATCGATAAATTTGCTATAACAAAAAACCTAAAATATCTTATGATAATTTTTTGCCTATAAAAGTTTCAAAACTCATAATATCTTTAAAATGAGCAATAATCTTTAATAAAAGTAATCTAACAGAAATCCAAGAATTTATAAATAACTTAAACACATTACATTATAATTTATTTTGATTTATTAATATACAATTCAATAACTAACATTGAATTGGAAGCTAATTACATACTTAGACAGGTAACTGTAACATTCTGAACCAGTTTTATTACATTAAACAATTTTCAACATAAAAAAAATGAACCCAAATCGATTCCCTAAATAACCGAATTTTAACCAATAAATTATAAATCTATCTGAGTAAGCGATGCGATCAAAAACTATAGTAAATCACAAATTACTGAAGTGAATGTATATACTTTTAATTAATAAATTATAACCGTTTATAACAACTATGTCATAACAATGTTAAATGTATTTAACAATATTTTGCTAATTTGTATATTATAGTTATAATGATAATAATTAATGAGCTTTAATTTAGTATGCAATTGTACTTTTTCAAGACCCGTTAATGTAAATAAATCTGATACTTAATACACTAGTGCAATCGATACACTGCAATCATTTCTAACTCCTCTTGAGCAACTCAAGCGCCTAATTTGTTAGTCAAATTATTTTGTTTGTATTTTTTTTTATAAATGTTTAGCATAACAGAACCAGGGAAACTTAAATTGCATCTCTGACACTTTTTATTAGTGCACCTATTGTTCGTATTTTCATGTTTAGCCAATTTCTGTTTGTACATGGGTGTATGTACACGGGCAATATCAAAACCAACCGATATCTCAAAATTTCGATTATGAAACCATCTTTTCACTTCTAACAAAAGCAATTTCTTACGAAATTTTGGTATAAACTATACCTCACCACAATCCCAAGTAGGGATGGTTTCGGTCGGTCATTTTCGGTCAACTGTTTTAAGACCTTTAGCCGTATCTTGAGATCCAGTGATCTAAATTGGATGATTTTGGTACCATTTAATTTGTCTAAATGAGACGAATCTAATGGTATAAAAATCCATCCGATTTGGATCACTGGATCTCAAGATACGGCTAAAGGTCTTAAAACAGTTGACCGAAAATGACCGACCGAACCCATCCCTAATCTAAAGCCTAATCCAAAGCCTACAGCAGAGACCGTTAATGTTGCACATATATTGAAACTGGTGAGGGATTATATCCATCACAATTGAATCCAACATAAATAATTTAATTTGTGATTGTTCACAGGCGAGAGGGATCCACTTTTGATCGGGCACTGTCTCTGCTGTATCCAAAGCCCACACTTACCTAATCATAAGCAATGGTTTAATTTTCGTTCGTAAAAATTGGGTTAATTGGTATGTTATACAAATTTGAAATTACAGAATTAATAAAATTAATACCGGTACAATTATAAATTATCTTTATGGTATTTCCATTTCTTGAAAAATTGGAATGCGTAAGAACAATACGTACTGTATCAGGAAATTTATAAATTTTCCTAAAAAGCCGAATACTAATTTACACAAAACGTTACAATTAAAAAAAAAAAAAATTTATTGTAACACCATAATGTTATTAATTTTCGTTCGCATGATATTTGTCGATCGGTCCTACAAGCGGGTCTCTATGCAATAATACATAAATAAACTTTTATATTGTTTTCTGAAGATCTACTAGAATAGTTTATACTAATTGCTTTTTAGAACAAATCGGTTAAGCGCTTATTGCATTACTTTTTAAACCTTCAATTAAAAAAAGATAGAAATTTAGAACCAGTCGTTAAAAAATTTCGGCAATTTGATTAATGTGTACAATGTGTACCACCCATTTTTATTACATATTGTACATACCGTGCAAAATTTAAAAAGTATTGTTTTTATAAATTAAATGCTTAGTGCTCAAATTAGACAACAAATTAATTAATTAATTACCGTTATGTATAAATATGATTGTTATTTATTTATAATTAAATGTAGTATCTTCAAAACGGCAAAAAATTCAATCCTAAACATCAAAAATATCATTAAAATTTCGTAAATAATCCGTCATAATAGTCTTTTAAATTATACCCGAAATATGCCTTGTCCCGGTAAAACTTTTACAAGTAGCATAACATGGTATTCACCTAAATTTATAAACCCGGAAGAATTATCATTTTGTGAAGAATGTTATAATCAATTTATCAGAAATACACCTTTAAATATGTATATGCGAAATGATGGAACCTTTATTGGTGTTTGTGACTTTTCAGTAAAGATACAAGAGCAATGGTTGACAGCTGTGAGTGGAAATGACATAAATATATTTAGGAAATATGTTGAACCAAAAGTAGTACATGTTCGGACGATACGATCAGAATATGCCAATTTACAATCCCATCATTCTTTAGAAACACAACGAAAAGGCGTATTAGTATATTCACAACTTAAGAATCGTGGGCAGGGTGCTGCTTTAGAGCTGATAGATAATAGATCACAAAGATATTTCTTTAATAACCGAACTTATTCCAATTCCGGTGCTGCCCATGCGGCTCAATTACAAATCCAAGTAGATGAATGTTCAAGAAAAATTAATAATCATTTGGTAGACATGGGTCGATTAGAAAATAAACGCGCCAACTACTGGCATGCATAAATTATGATCTATCAATTTATTCTTAAATATGCATACATATGCCTTGGATTTATATGTTATATAGTATGTATATACAATATGGTGACGTATTTACTTAGATCAAATATACAGTACTTAGTTGTTGTTACTTCTTAATACCGGCCTAAATACGATGAAATCCGACCATGATTCGGGTCGATCTGCTGAATTTTGGTTACGCTGCTAATCTAATCTTAGATTAATCAATTGACAAGTTTGGTGGCAATTTATTAAGAGAAAAACTATAGTTTTCTCAAATATTTGAATTTTATTTTTTTCACAAATTTATATATTATCTTGGTGTAATTGTTTATAGAATCATTTTTTATAGAATGTTAATAATCTGTGCGTAATTTACCTATACACGGGCTCAATTAATATATATAAAATATATATCAGGCTCTTTTATTATATTAATATATATCCTTATATTTTATAGCAAATTTATCTGAAAAGGAAGATATATTAAACATATATTAAATCTTTATATTATCCTGATATATCATACAGCACTGCATATAGTAATGTTTCAAGCTGATTAAAATTTTACGACTAGGCTAAGCCATTAAATTTTTAATAGCTTAGCGGCTTAGCTGACAGGTATTATGCCAACTCAAAAATAGTATATTATAAATTTCTTATAAATAAACTTTACACTAAAAATGTATCTTACCAATACTAGTTACCGGGCATAATCCCATTAAAATGTAGTACCTAGTTACACAAGTACTGTTACCCAGATACAGTACTTGCAAAATCCTAGTTATTTATGAAAATACTTAAGTGACTTTATTTTATTGTACCTTTTTTTTTAAAAAAAAAAAGCATATTCAACATAATCATTTATTTAGACAATAAAATGTATTTTTATTTCGTCCATTACATGTTTTTGAAAGCTTCTTTGCATACTTCAATTTCTTCATGTCATTTATTATTCATTATTTGAATCAATATGAAACTTGATCCAATATTTTTAATGTCAATCTTTTTTATTGCTGAAATCAAAAGACCTTGTAAGTTTTGTGAGTGAAATATGATAATTATATTATATTTTGAGAAATTTTTGTTTGTAAAAAAATCTTGTTGTCGTCAGTGACAGCTACTGGAGCTTGATCAATCAATTAGATTATATAACTATAGTTGATGACAGAACAAAAGTATATCAAACATTACCATCAACTAATTTAGAAAAAAGTTAAAATTAATCTTGTATTATGAACCTTATTAGAAGTAATATACAATTCTTGTTAGAAATAGCATGTTATAAGATAAAACGCATATCTTATAAAAAAGTTTTTATTAACGCATAGACATAGTATAAAGGTTACTATTAAATATATAAGTATAGAAACATTAATGATTAAGTTGAGAATTATAGATAGATAAAACGAACTTGTTATATAGATGATAATAAAGATATAAAATAAAAACTAGGTAACATTATATAAAAAGTAAATTGCGAGAATGCTTCTAGAATAATTTTAACTATTGTGAACCCGATTTTTTGGATCACGGGTGCCCGAATTGATGTGACGATCCTTACCCGATCAAAGGTCACGCGAAAAGTAACAGAAATGTTACTTATGGTACTTATGGTACTTATGTCACTTCTGCTACTTCGGCCACA